TTTTACGAGCATTCTTCCAGTCATTGGCCCTTGGCCTTTTGACTACCAGGATGCTGGGCTGAGAGTTTGATTGATTGTAAACTGTGAAGCCCGGAAAGTGTGCTTCTATTACAATAAGAAGTTACTTTTTGCACTCATTAGTGTGAAGGCCATCTGGTCGTTTTAAAAGACCGATGGGATTGGGGTAGCTTTTCGAAACAACCCTGTGAATTTCAGCGCTACTGCTTTAGTTTTGAAACTGAGAGCAGAAGCTTCTCCATGATTCTCTTTTTGCCCTTCTAATTTTCTTATTATAAGTGGTGAGGAAGTTTTCAAAAGTATTCCAATCACCATAGGTTTAAACCATATTAAAGAGACACCGAGATTCGACTCTAAGCTTGGCTTGTTTATTGTTCCATTATTGTGCACCTCTTGCCACTTGCCAGTCTTAGATTTTACCGGCCTCATGGGCATTAATAATAGTTCTGCCTAAGGAAGCATCAGCTATTTCTAAGTCATGAATGCTACTTATCGTATGTTTGTTATCGCTCAGTTCGTCCTTAAATCGATCCCAATCTGTGATCCCTAAACACCATATATGATTTCGTTACCTTGATATTTATATCTCACTTGGATGCGACCTCTTGGATGGAGCCACCTGTGACTTAGAGTGACTGGGATTCTCTGTCGTTGGAGGCCTTTTTGTCGCTAGTATTTAAAGGAACTTCGATTTTGTTAGCTTCATTTGATCAACAGTGAGATGTACCTCTAGATATTTCTCATGGACAATAGCTCCTTTTTAGGCAGCGCCAACGTCCCTGTAACATGGAGTCAGGGTCTGCTGGTGTTCGATCAAGCTGATCATTTGCTAGACGGCTTTCAGATCCTTGGGTTGTGCGCATTGTTATTCTTCGAGATATGAGTTATTAGACTCTTTCTCTATTATTATCACTCTTTCTCTTTCTGCTTCGCAGTCTCCGGATCCAAGCTGTCTCTGATCATGGCATTAATGCGCCTTTTCTAAGTCCAGATAAAGTATTTCAACTGTTTTCTGATCTCTTTGTTGCCATCATCATCTGAGTTCACCGTGCTCTGAGTGTTGTCATTTGACGCACACCTATGGCAGTCACTTGTGTGTTTAGCACCCTAGGTGCCAGTCACCGCCAAAATGTTCCCACTTTCGTCAGCGACCGGAATAGAGCTTCTTCCTCGGATTCCATACTTTTATTATTTTTATTGTCTCATTCCATAGAGAAACATTAAAAGAGAAGAAGAACGACCCCCAAAGCAGACCCCATGCTTTGGAAATGCATTAATTAAAACACGAGAGCTCCCGGTGTCCTGAGTTTATTACTTATCGATTGGATGCGCCTCTCCCGCCAAGCCACCTTTACGTAACAGTATACCTTAGATTAAGGGCTTTCGACATACTTAGTAACTACTTATGTACACATATAGTAAAACAAAACATGCACAACCACTCAATTATACATACCCGGGAAATTTTCTATTCCCAGTCCGGCAATCATCAGTCAACCCTTGACAGAGACACGATCGTACTAAGAGGTTCCTATGAACCTGAGGGGTTTCGTACCTACTCTGATGAGTCTGACTGGAACTTAGAGAACGATCTTTGCCGCCACCTACTCCCTAAGATGCTAGGATATTAGTAAGCCATTCAAACCTTGCCAGCTTGCAAAAACATTAATCTACTAACTGCTGACAAATAGCTAACTACAAATTACTAACAACAAAACACAAATCTACTAACTGCCAATATATAGCTAACTACTTATAAATAACAACACCTACATAGACTACAAGACAACATATTCTACCTTAAGCTATTGGCAGATCTTGGTTGCACTTTGTGCTCTAATCTCAATCAATATTTCAGCCGGTACTATCAATGATATCACTGTCTGAAATTTTAATCAGAGTAACTCAAACAGTATTTAAGCCCCTACACCACGAGTATAGTACCGTGTCTACCTACTAGGCAGTGACCCCTACAAAAATAACGAGATGCCACGTACTAAACCAGCTGAGATATTTTGTTTTTTTTTGTCTTCTTATGGTTATATTATCCGTGATTATTTGTAAATACTGATTAAATTCTACCTTAACATAACCAGTTATATTTTTTCTATCTTGCTTGAGGTATGAAAAATTCTTGCTTGAGGCAAGTATTGTTTTTGGAAAGAATATTGTTGGTTGTACATTGTATGACAATTTCATATGTTATGGAGTGACCCTAAATGCTACAATGTCCTGACATGTATTTAGGGTATATATCCCACTGCTCATAGAGGCACTTAATGACTGTTTTCAAACTACGCATCGTAAAGGGCAAGATTCTAATTCCGTCGTGATTGCGTTTGCATAAATACTTTCCTTCCGGAACATTGGATATGTATTCGTAAAAACACTGCCGCTTCAGCAGAAAAATATACAGTATTAATTCAGACCTTTCTATATTCAGACTGTTTGTATCCAACCGTATGAAACAATGATACAGAAGTCAGAACCTGATACTTTGTATGCCAATTTCATGAGCAGGTAAGCATCCCTTATTACGATGGTGCAATGCTACATTCTCCCTTAACCGGAGGCTACCTACTTTCCTAACAGATCAATGAATATTAGATTTCAGTTAGTGTAAAACCACATTGGAAAAAGAAATATGCAACGCACCGATAATACAAATTTCTGTGACACGGTATATAAGCTGTAATTAAAGTGTAAGCTTTTACAAGTTTGTTTGTCCACAAATGGAAACCGTGCCAACAGTTCATATAATAGGTTTGTTATGATTATTACCTTATACAACAATATGTTGTTTAATGGGAACATGGTCCGAGTTAAACCAATTGTACGTATATAAAGAGTTGAGAACCTTGTTAACCCTCAAATCAGGAGTGTTGAAATTTGAAATTTACATTTTCTAATGAAAAAAATCAGCTCGATTTTTGCAGCGTCAACCCTTTTTTGCATTCGTCCACCCAGTACTCCCTCAGCATCGTTTGATACTGTACAGTAAGCACGGCAGATGCGTAGGTTTGACAGTCTATGTGCACTTAAAGTTACGCGTGAATACGATTTTATAGTTGCATCATGCGCCCACACAGGGGCAGCATATAGCATCGACTTTGAAATTGAGGCGTTTGACATTAAACAGAATAATGGATTGAAAGCACTTGAGACTTTATCTCCCGATTATTTGATCATGGAAAACACTGAAAATGTAAACAGTTTTATATATAATGTATGTCAAATTAATCACAACATTAAAAAGTAATTTCTATATAAAACTCTGTGTAGTGCATCGGAAAAACTAAATCACCCCTATTCAGAATACTCCCAAGGAATAGGTCTCCCACTTCCCTCGCCATTTTATCAAATAAAACTATCTTATACTGAATTGCTTCGGACACAGCTGTTTTGGGAACATCAAAAATTTCAAATTTAATTTGTTGAACTTTGGCAACTATGACACTTTTTAATGGCAAAGAGTGCGAAAATTAGCAAATCAAAGAAAAGAATTGCATATCATATGTTGATTTTAATTTAAAAATCGCATTTATAAAAGTCGTATTTATTTTTATAATTAAAAATGTCCTTAAAAGTTTATTAATTAAATTGTAATAATAGTTTATAATTGCGCAGATATTACAATAAAGAAGAAGCAATGTTTTACCTGAGCATAATTACAAAAAATTATATTAACTTATTCGAGGTACGATAGCGATTAGCAGAATCGGCCAGCTCGACTCATAATACAACATTTTTGTAGCAGTGTTAGTAGATATATATATCTTTCATGAATACATATGTTGAATGACATCACTCTTTATATGTCTAATCATATAAAACAGCTGTTAATTTCAGGGTAATTTTACTACTCCGGCAAGATTATCTAGAGTGTTATAAATTAATTTCGAGTGTTATACTATGTTCAAACAGCCAAATTTCCTTAATTTCGTAAAAATGAAATAAAGTTAATTTTGAAAGTGTTCATACTGCCCCATATTAAGGAAATCACATGTTTTTTGTTTACAAATTGAATGTTAAAAATTACATGCTCCAAACACCATTTGTATCCGGGAAATTTTAAAAGTTGATTATTATAGCTATAAAGAATGGCATTCAGTAGATTTATTAGGTTTAATGGATTTCAGGTATGTGAATTATTATTTAACACTCTATTTTGAGTTACAGTATTTTCTGTGTATTCAAATTTAAAATTTTGCGCTACCATCAAAATATTTTTCTGGTTTTATTAAAGTTACCTGTCACTGACATTTATTTTTAGAAAATGACTCTTTTTCGTTATCTCAACTTTATCTTTTACTTAAAATTTATCTTACACATAGTTGTATTTCAAATATCCCTTAATTTCAGCCTTCGTTTCAGTGTCATTTTCCTTAATTTCGTTCTAACCTTAAAACTGAATTTTGTAAAAAAAAATTAAGATTTTTATGAAAATAAGGTGAGTATGAACATAGTATTATACACTAAATATCCCTTAATTTCAGCATTCGTTTCAATGCCATTTTCCATAATTTCGTTCTAACCTTAAAACTGAATTTTATATGAAAAAAAAACAACTTAATTTCGCTGAAATAAAGATGGAATTAAGATTTTTACGAAAATAAGGTGTGTGTAAACATAGTATTATACACTAAATTGAAAATTGCAATAAAAGTGAATCTCGATTAATAAATTTACCTCAGATTTACAAACAAAAAAATATCATTATTAATCTTTGGTGCAAATTATAAACTTTGTATTAGTAAGCCATGATTGCAGGTGTACAGAGGCTATGAGTAACAAAAATTTTTTTTTGTCATATGTTCAATGGTTGCAGATTTCGTGTAAGTGTAGTTGTGGACGTTGCAAGTAATTAAAAGTACACAACGTTAGGCGTATCTGTATAAATGTGTATATTAAGAAATTTTATATAAATATGATAATATCATATATGTCATTTAAATAATTTTAAAAGCATAAAAATATTATAGCAAACTCAACAAAAAATATTTTTTGGGACTAAATTGAAAACCGAAGGTGGCAACAATGTTATCATCAGAATAAAAACAGAAAATCCAATATTACTCAGCAACAACGGTCAGATAATCATGGTTGATGAAAATCCATTCGCAGCATTAATTGAAGCTGCAAGTCCTGCAGATGGTATAAAAAAAACATTAACTGAAGAAGTTTTTTTGTTTACTTTGAGAAGAGAACTAACCGCCGCTGATCAACGTCCATTACTATCTTTGGCAAGTATATTAACACCTGATGATGGCACAGACGGAACAATATGTGAGGCGATACTGTCGCATGCACTTTTTGAGCGACTAATGATGCAGGACACGAACGAGTATTTGCTACATTTGCCAACTATATCTAGCAATAACAATCAAGTCAAAGAAGCTACCGAAAGTTGCTGTATGAAATATTTATATAGAGCTTACTGTGCCTGTAAAAATGCAAGAGAAAAATCTGACAACAAGGCAGATTGTGATAAAATTACAAATCTTATATTGACGAATGCTAGCACATGCATGCGACAACCAGTGTTATTTGCCGGACAAATATTTTCAACACAGTGGTATGACATCTTAATGAGTTCGGATGTATTAGATGAAACGTTGCACGAGTTTTTAATGAAGATAGTGCAAAGAGTTCTTAATGATGTTGACAATCTTGAAGCTATGGGCACATTTAAAGCCATGTTCTATCCTTTGCTAAGTGAATTACAAAAGAAAATTGCTGTCAGTAACCTGATCACATTTGATAAGAATATTTTTGTGGCTTTACAGTATTTTGTGCGTGAGAAGAATGCACCACATTTAGCTGAAACAATTCTCGATTTCACTACACCAAATCCGAATGCAAAAGGTGAGTTGATTTAATACTTATTTTCTAATAATACCATTACTATAAATCTCTTTTGGTTTAGGTATTGATTATGCAGATACTCTTTTTGGCCAACTATTTTCTATATCAATAATGCCAAAAAATTCTAATGGTTCGTACGAATTTTTCGGTGACAATAGCCTTGATGCAAATACTACAGATGCTTCGCTATGGGAATTAATGTGTAGACACCAAAATAGTGTTTTCGTTATTTTGAAACAACTTATACTAGTTAGTCCAGATATTAAGAAAAAAGTTTTAGTATGGTTTTCGAATTGTTTACATGCCAACGCTGGTCGTGGTCATATATGGAGTAATATTAATTTGAACTTTGATCAGTTTGCTCAACAAAATGCAAGTGACTCATTTATGACTGGACTGACAGCAGTACTACTACGTCTTTGTCTACCACTGTGTCCTCCAACACTTAAGGTAAATCTGTTACATATATACTTATGTTAAGAGTAGTATTTTGAACAATTTTTTTTTAAAGGTGCTTATTGTGGATCCTACGTACTGTGCTGTAGCTGAAAAAGAACTTCAGAATAAAAATATCAACATGCTAAAGATGTACGACGAAACTTGTTTACTGCCAGTAGAAGAAAATGAACAACGTGTAACTGCCGATAAGTATAATTTTGTTACGGAACTCTTCTATATTACACACAAAGCTTTTGAATTATCTTACCGTGCGTGTGGCGAACGATTTTTACGTATGACACGTGAACTACATACCTTACAAACAGCATTTCAGGATGTTATTACAACCGATCCTGACAGTGATATGAGTAGAAATCTTTTAAGAATGTTGCAAGATCAGTTACAACAATATCGCTGCATGCGAAATGGTCTAACAGAGCCGGAAAACGAGACACTCATTTTAAAATTTTTAGAAGCGACTGCAATCTGGTTTGTAGAAATTTCACTTATCAACAAGAACGAACATGAAGCTCTCCTGGCAAAGAAAGAATTTAGTCCTGTAAACACTAAAAATCGCGATGTGCCGACAACAATTGATTTTGTGCCACCATATCTGAAATGCATACCGGAGAACGTGCTTGATAATATAGTCTCCTATTTAAATTTCACCCGTCATTTACCTATAACATGCATATTTAAAATGTCAGTAAGTGGTCATTATGCATTTTTCAAACTAATTGTTCTTTTTATGGGCAATTCAGAATTGGTAAAAAATCCGCATTTACGTGCAAAACTAGCCGAAGGCCTGGAATGTTTACTACCTCGTAAAAGCACTGATAATTCAGATGCATTTACAACAAATATATTTGATCATCATCAGGATCATTTAAAATTGGTACGAAGTCTTTTAAATGTTTTTGTCAGCATCGAAATGACCGGCCAATCGGTACAGTTTGAGCAGAAATTCAATTATCGTCGACCCATGTATGCAATTATGGAGTTTTTGTGGACGAAACCTGATCATGTTCAGTGTTTTAAGGATTTAGCAACAGAAGCTGAAGAGAATATGGAAAATATCGAGCCGCCGTTATTTTTACGTTTTATCAATTTGCTAATTAACGATGCCATATTTTTGCTGGGTAGGTTTTATTCTTTCGAGAGATTTTTAAATTCGAGAATATTTATTTGTTTAAACTAGTATTAATTTTTATATGTATATGCGTAGTCAATGAAAATAATTATACTCAAAATGTAATACGTATGCATCGTAAATCTAAATTTATTCAAATTGAAAATTCAATGAATGTTTAACTTATTTAAGATTTATTCATTTCAGATGAGTCTCTTTCGAATCTGCAACAAATACGTCAGCTACAAGAAATGCAAGACAGTAGTGAATGGAACGCACTTTCTCAAAATGATCGACAACAACATTTATCGAATATGCACCACTTAGGTAAGCCCCTTAAATCAAAAATATATTATATTAAATTTATGCACTTGGTTTTTAGGTATGCTTGCTCGTTTTGATAACATATTGGGTCGGGACACAATTAACATACTGAAATTGTTAACAACAGAGATTAAAAGCATTTTCTGTCATAATAGTTTGGTCGATCGCATAGCTTCAATGTTAAATTACTTTTTATTAAATTTGGTCGGTCCAAATAAGGAAAAATTTAAAGTAAAAGATAAGAAGGAATTTGAGTTTTCACCGGCTGAAACTGTTATTGAAATATGCCATATCTATATTAATCTTAGTGAAAGTGATCGTTTCTGTTTAGCTATCTCTCAAGACGGCCGTTCATATAGTTCTCAACTATTTAGTTATGCTGAAAATATATTAATTCGTATTCGGGGTGGTTTGTTGATTGGTGAAATGGGTGTTTTTGCGGACAAAGTTAGCAAAATAGAGCAACAATACAAGCAGGAACAAGAATTTTTTGCTGATGCACCTGATGAATATTTGGATCCTATAATGTCAACTTTGATGACCGATCCTGTTACCCTACCTAGCTCTAAAGTGACTGTTGATCGAAGTACAATAGCTAGGCACTTACTTAGTGATCAAACTGATCCTTTTAATCGTGCGCCTTTAACTATGGATAAAGTAAAGTCCAACACCGCACTCAAGGAAGAAATTGAAAAGTGGATGGGTGCAAAGCGTTCTCAATCTACAAATAACACTAATAGTTGAGCATAACAGTCATATGGAAAATGCTAACCAAAGAATTTTTATAATTGCTTATATTATTCGTTTAGTTGTTTGTAAACTATATGTTTTTGTTATGTATTTTATATATATTTTTTTTTATGTGTAAAAGAAATTTCGCGGTAACGGTTTGTGCTAGTAATTAGTGTAGTTGCTTCTTTATTTTATATTTTAATTACCTTAATTACCAACTTCTTATATTTGGGATTTAATACATAGTTTATTAAAGTTCAAAAAATATTAAATTTTGCGTTTTTCACTGTCAAATTATTAAAAACCTTTTGTTTCCAAAAATCATATAGATTCTTTATAGTTTATATAAAAACTCACTATCATTTTTGTGCAATGAGTAAAAAAGCATAGTATGTATAATGTTTTTAAACCACTAATCATATTTCCCTTTGTATTCGGGCAAAGACCGAGTATAGAACAACAGCAACTCACACTGTCTTTCAATTGTTATAATTTTCAAATATGGAAATATTCGGTGCACTCATTGCGAATTTATGTAATGTATACTAAAAATATTACCACTAAGTCAGAAATATATTTCTGAACTACAAATTCCATTAAATTTAAAAATATTAAGTATCACAAAATTCGTCGTATATTTTATATATATTTTGAAAATTCCAATATTCAAATATAGAACCGTATATTTGTTATAGTTTTATTTAGACTTTTAAGTTCTTGCTGTTATTAGAAAAAAGGGGTATACACAAAGTAAAGATTTTGTAAATTTAAAATTTATAATTGCTACACCTTTTTAAAGGAATATGTGAATCTTAATAATGAAATTGTATTTAATTTTACAATCTGATAAATAAATGTGTTAATAACTCAAATTGTATTGAAAATTATTATATAAATGGCAAATATATACAGTAAATGTAAATTCAATATTAGCAGAAGTGTTCTTAATAAATCACCGGAAGAAAACAAAGCTCCGATTACTCCGAATAGACGAAAAGGGGGAAATATCATCAGTAAGAGTGCAATAAAAAATCGATAATTATATTAATTTTAATATATTTTAATATTTTCTGTAAAAAAAGATCAATAATAATTTCCGAAATTATTTAAATGCAAGGACATAATAGGTATCAAATTAAAAAATATGTAGCACTGATTTTACAGGACTAACTTAAGCCTCGAAACTTCAGTATGAATTAAAGCAGCAAAGTTCTAAATTTAAACATGACATCAGACAAAATTGAAACTGAAGCTTTTGCTGTGGAATCTTAATGTTCTAAATTGATTTATAAATATAGATATTTGAATGAACCATTTTTGAGACATTGGGTGATATTTTGATATTGTAAATGAATTTTTATTGTAAATGTAAAGAAGGATATCTGCAAAAGAGAATGGAAAAGAAACGTCTTTTCAAGCGAAAAAAGACAGAAGCAGAAAGAGGTGAATAGCTGAGAAGTTTGGCGACAGGAATATGGTTCGAAATCTAAATTAATTCCGAATTTGCAATCGTTGACGATGAAATAATCGTCCTGCCTCCATACCATAATGAAGTTGAAAAAGCTATAATGCGGCTCAAAAACAACAAAGCTGCAGACGCTGATGATTTATGGGTTGAGTTGTTTAAAGCTGGTAGCAAAGAGCTTTTAAAAATGCATGCTACAGCTAATTCATAATATATAGTAGGATTAGTGCATGTCCAACGACCAATCCTCAAAAAGGTAATCCTGCATTAATCGCATTTAAGGTTCTGTCAAACGTACTACGTGAAAGATCGCTAATCGTCAAGTAACTGATTGGACCTTATCATTTTGGCTTCAGATTTGACAAATCCATCCTAGACCAGATATTCATAATGCGCCAAGTCCTGGAGAATACCCAAGAAAACAAAATCGACAAACACCACCCATTTGTCGATTTCAAAGCCTTTTTTGACACTACGACTAGAAGCACTATCTACGCCAGTATGTTTGAATTTGATATCACAGCGAAACTTATACGGCAATGAAAAATGGCGTTGAGCTCCATTAGAATCGAAAAGAACCTCTTCAAGCCATTTGATACCAAACAAGGTATCAGACAGGGTGACTTCTTGTCATGTGACTGCTTTAACCTAATGGTGAAAACGATAGTTCGAGCAGCATCGGATTGACTGGTGGAGGCTACTTATCGCGGCCAACTAAAAAAGAAAGTAAATGAACCTCTCCGCTTTTTTATAAAACTATTTTTTTTTAGACACAAGATTTTTACTAAACGTTGTATGTGTAATATTGATGCTTTGTACTTTGAATTATCTATCCTCCATTTCAGAATTCTGATAAACTGTCAAAGAAGTATCTTCCTAAAAACCTATTTCTTCTGGAAACCAAAGCCGGGTATTCACAGAGAAAATACGTAATGGCGTCTTTTTAAGGCTGGTTTCCACAATTTCTGCAGTGAGAATTATAAGGGATGCGCAGTTTCTCTACGACAGCATTGTTCACGCTGTCTGTTTTGTTGAGTTTTGACAATTTCTGCAGTGAGAATTATAAGGGATGCGCAGTTTCTCTACGACAGCATTGTTCACGCTGTCTGTTTTGATGAGTTTTGAGGATCTAATATTGTTATAGACGGGTCATGTTAACCTGAAAGTTGTACATAACTTATGTGCAATAACACACCCATAAGCACATACGGCACAAATTGTCTTTTGCTATCTCTTGGATTAGGGCGCGAATTCCCATAGACATTTGTAGTTGCAGACGTAAATTATCTCATTGTCGGCGCAGACTTATTAAAGCACTAGGATCTACTCCGATTCACATGAAGCGGAAACAACTGATGAACAGCAAAATGTTCGTAGCAACAAAAAGTGCTGCACTAGAGGGGTAAGTTGGCAGCATCCGAGCCAACAGTATTACAGACGAGTACAAGCTCTTGATGAGCGAATACCGGATCTAGCCACATTGAGCAATAACCATTTGACATGCAACATGCAAGCCAACCACTTTATTGAAACTATAGGTGCATCGACGTTTGCTCGACCACGACGTCTTATTGGGGACAAATTGGAGGAAGCGGAGAAAGAGTCACAATACTTATTATAAAAGGGGTTTTGTCAGTCGTCTAAGAGTTCTTGAGCGAGTCCGTTGCATATGGTGCTAAAAAAATGACGGTACTTGTCAACCATGTGGCGATTATCGTATGTTGAATGCTCAAACAAAGCTGGATCGGTATCCGATTCCTTTTCTGCATGACGTAACCACCATCCTTCATGGCAAAAGCATTTTTTCGAAGGTTGACTTATAGAAGGCGTACCACCAGATTCCAGTGTCAGAGTGCGACACACCGTAGACGGCGAATTTCGTTTCATGACTTTTGACTTACGCAGCCCAAACACTCCAACGATTTATCAATACAACTTTGGTTGGGCTAAACTTCATCTTCGCGTACATTGACGACATACTGATTGTATCTAAAAATGCTACAGAACACCGAGTACACCTTCAAATGATTTTCGAGCAACTTCGTCTCGATTAGCTTCTACCGCCCATTTTCAAGCAACGCTGTCTGCAACCATAGCAAAATCATCTGGAAGCCAGAACACATCAATCGGCGCCGTTTTGCAGCAGATTGTAGAGGGTGAAGTACCTACGGGCAAGCGACTAAAGGTACTCGTCAGCACGAACGATCTTGGCATTCTCATCAAGGACAGAGACGGAGAAGTACTTACCGTCAAGCTTGCGTTTGTAGTTGGTACAATCTCGAAAAAGCGAATTCTTTCCATTTGAGCGGAAGAGATTACATTCACGCATTTTCAACTACTCGATTTAAAGAATGTCTCCAAATTTTATTATACGAGTATTATTAACGTTATTGTTATTATTATAGTTATATGGGCTCGAATGTCTGTGACATAGTATTTATTATAGAATTTTTGTATCTCACCCTTGCCATTGAAGGATTTCCTTAACTTTAACTATATTAGTTAAAATAACTAAAATTTAGCTTATATAGCTAATTATTAAAGATCGACATGTGACCGCTTCGATTCTTCATATTTCAAAAAAAAAGTTGTCTCCGATAATATATTAGAACTTGGCATTTCCAATAATAGAAGTCCATAATCTCTTTACATGAGGTCTGTTCCACGAGCTACTCATAGTAACTTTGAGTAAACACTGTGTATACACAAGCGCGTTCCACCAGCAAATTTTCAAGTATTTTTGTGTAAATTTTACTTCTGTTTTACTCATGTTTTACTATGAGTAGCTCGTGGAACAGACCTATGGTTATCTTCTCTTCGAGTTTCATTTAGAAACTAGACCCATCTAAAACTCGCATTGGAGAAACTTTCTTAATCATAATTATTGACTGGCTTATTTTTATCAATCTATTGTGTAGATTTCTGTCCCTAGGAAATCTAAATTTACTCGAATTCTCACACGGCCTTAATTTAGTTTTCTCGTACTGCATGGGCATCTATTGATTACAAACCTACGCACCTATTTGAAATATTTTAATTTTTTATAATTAAAAAATCGTACGTATGTTTTTTCGTGCGAAATCGTCGCATGTTGAGGTTACATTGCATGTGAATTAAAATATATTTAGCTGAACACCCGTTATGAAATTATTTATTAATTTGAAATAACAAAAGATGAATTTGGGTGCATAATTTTAATTCATTTATTTGGCCTGTTCTTTAACCAAAGAAATTAGCAACTCACAATCCATTTTCTAATAGTGACATATTTTAAAATATATTTCCATATTCCATTATAAAATAAAATTACATCTAGTTCTTTAACCAAAGAAATTAGAAAATCACAATTCATTTCCTAAAAGTGACATGTTTTCAAATAATTTCCATATTTCATTATAAAATAAAATTACATGAAAATAACACACACCTCTCAATTTCACTGTTTCTTCGATTTCGTACAAACGAATGCATTTCAAACAGAATATTTTATTTACTCATATGTTCGCACGAAGTAGAACTATTCGTCGCGCGAATAGTTATCAGCAACTATGACCACTTACATATAAATACGTACACTTGATTTGTTCGTACGATCATGCATATGAACACGCAGTCAATCGTATACACTTCGAAAGTTTCGTACTTAAAATTGAACGTGTAAGGTGCGCATAAAAAATATATACGGTATGTAACAAAACATATGTACATATTTTTATTGGAGAAACGAATGGCACTGAAATATTATTATTTATATTTATGTATTTATTATTATTTTTTATTACATATTTATAATATTATATTGTTTATTTGTTCATTGCTTCAATTTTTGCAAGAAAATGTAATCATTTGTACACATGATACGGTCTAAATGATATATGGTTAATAAATGGCTCAGCGATCATGATTGCTTAAATGATTCTAATTCAAATTGACTACATGAAAATAAATAAAATTTACGACATGCATGTACATACATATATTTTAATTTAATGGATATGCTTTTGCTAAAGATCCCAATGATAAGGTTGAATGGATTTGAATTATAACTTCTTGAAACATTATTGTATGAGGTTGGCGAATATTTGGTTTTGCCTTATTGCCTTATTTATATTTTATTTGATATAAATACGAAAACCAATACATCATATTGCATATGATTTAAATACAAAAACCTATACAGCTGGCAATCGTGCTGATTTTGCAACAGCTGTTTACGATCAATGGTTATCACACATAAAATAAATAACAGCTACTGTAGTTCTAGATCTTATTTTTATACACAATTGAGCAAGATTGTACGGAGCCATTATGCACATCTCTAAAGCCTCACTGATTGGAGTTTGCCGTCATGTCAGACGTACATTTGCCACGGTAAATATGTGATAACAAAATACTTTATATCATTGAAAAGTGAAAAAAATTGTTATATAAAAAAGCGAATCGGGCAGGTGATTGAAAACAACTCAGTAGTACGAATAGTTGAAGTCGGTCCTAGAGATGGTTTACAAAATGAGCCCAAGCTCCTGCCCGCATCAGTTAAAATAAATTTAATTGATCAACTATCTGATACTGGCTTAAAAACAATAGAGGTGACTAGTTTTGTAAGTCCACGTTGGGTACCGCAAATGGGTGACAATGCAGAAGTGTTGCAAGGAATAAAAAAAGTTGCAGGTGTAACATATCCAGTACTGACACCAAACCTTAAAGGCTTTGAAAGTGCTTTAAAAGCAGGAGCTAATGAAGTAGCAGTCTTTACTGCGGCTTCAGATAGTTTTTCGTTGAAAAATGTAAATTGTACAGCAGCCGAAAGCATTCAACGTTTTCAACCAATATTCGAGGCAGCTAAGATAGCTAATGTACGTGTTCGTGGCTATGTTTCAACTGTTGTTGGCTGCCCGTACGAAGGTGCTATTAAGCCAAACGATGTTGTTAAAGTCGCAGCTAAATTATATGAAATGGGATGTTATGAAATATCTTTGGGCGATACTATTGGTGTTGGAACACCAGGCACTATGCAAAAAATGTTGCAGGAAGTTGTAAAAGTAGTGCCCGTCGAACAATTAGCTGTTCATTGTCATGACACTTATGGCCAAGCACTATCAAATATTTTAACTTCCTTGGATTATGGTATAATTTTCAATTGAGCAATAGAAAAGCAACTTAGTAATATAACTAACTTTATTTAGGTATTAGAGTTGTGGACTCTTCTGTTTCCGGATTGGGAGGATGTCCTTATGCGCGTGGTGCTAGTGGTAATGCAGCAACCGAAGATGTAGTTTATATGTTACATGGTATGAATATCGAAACTGGTGTTGATTTGGAAAAGTTAATTGCTGTAGGCCGATACATTTGTAATGAGTTAGGCAGGCCAACAGAGTCAAAAGTGAATCGTGCTTGGAAGGGACCTGAAGCTAGAAAAAAAAGCCTAAAAAGTGAATTGTAAACCTAAATTTCTTTTACGTACCAGTAATATGCATTTATGAAAAAATTTATTTTTAACAAATATATTTATTATTGAAGCAATGTATACATACATATAACTTTTACGAATTTATTGGTTAATAATTTCTCGGATTACAAACCATTTCAGCTTTAATTCCAAAAGGTCATTAATATAATTTGTTATATCGTTACCACGAACCGTAAGTTATCATAAAAAATAAAAACCACCTTAAAACTCTTATCATTGGTATTTTAAAATAAAAGTCAAAAAATAATTAAATTTGCATTATATTATATTCACCAAAAATAATTATTATCACGTGTCTTTTATTTTTTCGCTCAGAAATAAATCTTAAAATTCTGCTTTTTATTTTAAAACGCACAAATAGTTCTTAAAATCCTTTTTATTTTAAAATGCACAAAAAACTCTTAAAAATCTGCTTATTTTAAAATGCACAAATAACTTTTATTTGTGCTTTTTAAATATAAAAACCATGAACAATTCTTATTTTTGAAAACAAAATATAACTCACACTGGCCTCTCGAATATTTTTAAAAACGAAAATATAAAATGCATTTTCCAATAAAAGCAAAGTGTAAGTTATTTTCGATGAATATAAAGCACAAATTTAATTATTATTTTTTGAGGTTTATTTTAAAACGTTCATAAATAAAACGCATGCATAATATTAAGGATAAAAGTTAATAGAATAATAACTATGTATAAGTTTTTTTTTTTTGAAACAATTACTAATTTCGGTCCCTGATCGTTACATATTGCGATATTTAATGATTTTAATCGTGAGCGTACCTAAGGATAAATTAACGTAAGAATCAATGTCACGCATTGCAATGGACCACTTGCTAAGATGTGAGACGATCTATTATAGCAAAAACAGTTGAGTTGTTATGTAAGACTCATTTTTTAAATTTGGAAATTATAGCTATTGAGCGTAACTGTTTCAATAAAACGGGGGTATTTTCCTCTCCAGTTTCTACGTAATGTCTCTTCCCCTGCCAGGTTTTAATGAGAAATAATAGATGTATAAACACTAACGCGATTATAATGTATAAAAACTTATTGTAAAAAAATATAAATAAACAAGTAAAAAAAGTATTAAGATCAACAAATATGAGAAAAAACTAATAAAAGAGAAAGGATAAGGTTAACTATAAACTATAGTATTTGGGCATCTTTTATCGTGTATAAAGATACATCTCCTGTTGTAACAGATAAATTTGCCAAACTAGCATTGATAGCGTGTGCATAGTTTTGAGACGTTCCAGCATTTGCTTTCTTAATAAATGGTGATTTAGGACTTGAATCGAAGGTTCTACCACTAATTGGCAATTTATATTTGCCATCATGTCGAAGAACAGCTGGTAACCTCGCAGTATCGATGTAATTTTTCACTTTGCTGACTTCAGGAATAGTTACTGGTGTACGCTCATCGACATACTGTTAAGAAATAATTATATAATTGTTAATATTTAAATCGAATAAAAAATATACATTCAACCTACGTGCTTTAAGTCTGAAGAGATATATGCTTTTTTAGGCAGTGCACGAGAAACTACAGGAATATTGTTAGATTCTTCCTTGGTTCCTGTACGCGAAGCAAATACAAGTTCACGATTAACTGCATTACACATATTGTTTGGTGTTTTTAAACTATGAGTGGATATGAGTGATGTAGTCCCACTTTTTTTTATATAGGTACCAATAGGACTTACGATGTGGGCAAATTGTTTATTGTTTGAGCTGCTAAGCTTGTTCACTTTAGTTTCAATACGTTTCGTATTCGGAGTCTTAAACATTTTGGACTTGGTATTTGATGCTGCAGATGTTTTGGGTGAATTGTTTGTATTTACACGATTTACTGCAAAATAAAACGAGATATTTATTAAATTCTACTCATTCCACGAACGACTATATATTATGTCAATTCAAAAAACCTTAACTAAATTAAAATTAAAATCAATTTTGAACTGACCTAGTATAAATACGACATACGCAAAATAAATTAAAATGCACAAATTAATTACCTTTTGTGAATTTGACCAAAGGAGTTTTAATTGGTTTCGGTGGCTCCACATAATTTTTCTTAGATGATATTGTAAAAGTATTTTGTCTGATTTTAAGTGGTTTTGGAGAGATTTTTGGGTTACCCAAATTTAAATTTGAGTTACTTAATGCATTTGACTTTCCATTTCGTTCTAAGAGTTCAAGTATATGATTGACTTCTTCCAAAGTATCATTAAATTCAAACGATCTTTGGAATGAAGTGTCAATAGTGCAAGAATTTTCTTTTTCTTCGATCTCATTTTCACATGGATTTTTAATGTTATCTGAATTAAAAATTATTTTCTCTAAATTGCAGGTTTCTTCTTTGACTTCTTCTTTAAACAATTCTCTATATTCTTTGTTATCATCTGAACTTCCACCATCATCTGAGAGCACAATTATGGAATCATTTAGGTCTTCCTTTTTTTCTACACCAGATGTATATTCATCTTTTACAATTGCATCAGGTTTATTTGTGGGAGGGTCTACCCATTTAGTTGAATGTGGAAAACTATGAAGACCATAATTACAGTTGGCAACTATATTTTCAGATTGATTTTGAAAAAAATTCTCCTCCGAACAACGAAGCAATATTTTTGAAGCTGACGTCTCATTATCACCTAAACGAAGGCTATTTAGGTTGCATTCTATAGTTACGAAATTTTTTTGGAACAAAAAAAAAACATGTATATAAAAAATAGTATATAGGTCAACGTTAATATAATGTTAATAGTTTCAATTACCAGTGGTCAGTGAAGAGAACTCATTGGAAACTTTATTATCATTTCCCACTACATCATCCTTTTGTTTATTTTGCAAATGTTGCAACAAGCTATTATCAGGAGTAATTACAGGAGTGTCGTTACATATATTTTCTACGCCCACAAAACTTTCATGAGTAGGGTGTTGTAAAGTTAACTTCTCATGTCCTGAACACATAGCATAATCCACAAATCTTGTACTTTTATTTTCTTTTTCTAGACCTTTATTTTTCTTTTCCTCTGAGTTTTTAAAAGTAGGCACACTCAAATCATTATTAACATCTTGATAGCCAAGCTCCTCTTTTTCACATATTTGAACAAATTGGGGCGTTTTTAATAATATATTTTTGAAATTTGAATCAAAATCTAAGCTGTATCGTTGTGAAGTATGCGCCGATTTGGTTGTTTCACATATTGGTGTGCTAAAAATACAAAACTTGTTTTACTAAAAATTAATCAAACTAAATTTTAAATTATACAATATAATATAAATAGTAATAATCAAAAACAAACAATATTTCAGCCGCTTATCATTCTGATTACCATTTCGATACTAGCAAATCTTTAATTCTAGCACGCCAATCCTCTTTTACTTGAGATTTCGACATACTCAAGACTTACTCTACTATTAATTACAAAAGTGACAAAAACTAAAAATAAATGTCCCGATAGAATTTCATATACAACGAATAAAATTTGAAACTGGACGCTTATCTATATGGAGGGATACATTACGACGTTTGTCAAATCGTGCAATTCTGACACATAAGCGTTGCCAGTTTTAATTATAATAAATGCAATTGCTTCAAGGAGTACATTTTAAAGGACAATGCTTATAGTGTTTTTAAGCAACAGCAAAATTTGCAATTGTTGGCATTTACTTCAATAAATACCTTCAAATAAATAAATAGAGACGACAATAATTGCCATGAAATTATTAACACAGATTTGCTGCAATATTACATTTATTTCTATTAAAACGCCGGCTTCTATTTGAATTTTGTAAAACTTAAACACTGAACACACTCCACGAAAGTATTAAGCAGACAAGCTATTTTTATTATATAAGGTTTGCATAGTACTAATTTTTTTTATGTAATTTGGTTTCTTTGTTTAATTCATTAGCATTTTGAAAAATATTCATAAAATCAATTATTTTTACTTCGGTATTTTTCATTTTCACTTCCTATTCTTATATTCACTTATATTTTATTTTTTTCATTACTTCCAATGAAATGCGTATTTAAAACGAAACAAAATTTGACATTTTGTTAATTGCAATCAGAGAAGACTTTACATAGAATAGAAACTTAATTGAGAACGACAAAAAAAAAACAAATACACTCTCAGAAATTGCACAAAACCACATCAAATCACACGATTATTTTCAACTTCACCATCTATATGGTGAACAAATGGTGACCTCAACTTGTTGAATAACCGTTAAGTAAAATTTTATGGATAGGGAGTGCATTTTTATGAAATGATTGCACTCTGCCAAATTTCTTGTGCGACAAATATTTAATGAATTTTGTGTTATAAGCAGTTTGTAATAACTTGTTTTTTCCAATAATAAAAGTACGTTAATAATAATGATAGTGTAAAAAATAACAAAAAATAGTGGAAAAAGAGTTGTTGCTGTGTGACTGTCCAATGAGTACCAAAAACTTTTCTTCGTCTTTGGCTCTCTTCGTACACATGAACTAGGACCTGTGTATACTTTAATATTAGTGTTCATACATGAAATAATAAGTTCAATTAATAATGTTTTTAAACAGACATGGTCACCCCCTTTTCAAAATTCAATACTCTTTTAACAAACGCAAATTACATGTTCATATGCATTATTTATTATTTATTTATATATAATAAATTTTGTCAATTTTTTATATATCACTATCTTATTAATTCTTAAACAATTGCACTTACTGTACTGTTTTTAGAACTAAGGACTGTAACAGTTATTAATTTAAAAAAATAAATCTAAAAAATCTTATCATTCGGCTTTTAAAATAAAACTTAAAAAAATAACAATTAATTTTGGTTTGTATTATATTTCTCGAAAATTGTTATTATTTGCTTATTACTTTTCCATGCACAAATAACTTGTACATTCTGCTCTTTAATTTAAATTGCAAAAATAATAATTATTTTTTAAAAATAAAAAATACAAAAATAACTATTATTTTTTCAGACAATATAAAACTCTTTATGTGCAACTTATTTTTGGAAACCCAATATAAGTTGCCAATCGGGCGTTTTATTTTTAAGGATTAGTAAAATGAAATGCTTTCAGTGTTTGGTGGTTATAGTGGATTGGAGAGTAAGAAGTGAATTACAATAATTAATAATTATTATTTGAGTTTTATTTTAAAAGGCAAATATATAAATATAAAGTATGCATTATATGAAGAATAAAAGTTGTTAGGGTGATAACTATGTAGTTAAATTTGAATTAAGACAACTTTTTGTTGTTTTTGAAAATTTTTGAAATAACTATTATTTCCGGTCCTGATTTAGAATTAACGCATAAACAGCAACTATATGAGCTTACTTAATTATAAATTGATATTTCTTTCAAATTTGAGCACTGTTGAATTTTACTTGAATTAAAATGATATAAACTTTGACAACCTGAGATATTTGCTATTATCTATAGAATGCTATACTGAGTAGGTGCTAATGTGTACTTGAAATTATTTTAAGCTATGGTGTCAAGATAACTTTACAATTACTAGTCCCACATTTGGATATATTGTAAACTATGCTGTGCTAAAGAGCAATATCTTGTAAAAAATTTAGAATGAGTTTTAACTTTTGGTACAAACTTTTTAGAATAAAACCATCCAACAGATGGACAGACTATCTTTATTTCAAATGATACCCTTCAAGGAACAGAAAGTGTTTCTTTATTAAGCGTAAATATAATAAATTCATAAAAGAAAACTTTCGTTACCTTTTTTGACAATTTTATTTTTCGTTGAAATCAAATCATTATTTATGGGCGTACAATATACATATATTAATTGGTACGTGATATATTTGTGTGTTTATGTTGTGTAAAATATTATATAAATATTATGACATCTTAAAAGTAAATAAATTATAAAACATACTTTTTGTGGACTGATACTGTAAAGTTGTTATTTTATAAATAAAATTATATTCAGACTATGAATAAAATTTTAACAACGTATCGACGTATATATATATAACAAATATGTACATATTTATATGGAACGCCACCAAAGCTACTACATTTGGCATTTCTGTAAGCCCTAAAAGGGAGTAGTAGGTTTTTCCCATCCACAAAAACGGTAAACCAAAATCGCTACCGTTAACCTACTGACGTATTCACCTTAACTTTAATAGCATTTATTGCCAGCAAACTGAAAATCATTATTCTTGAAGGTGGAATATTTTCTAATTTCCAATATAGTATTTGTAACAACTTTAACCACTGATGGATCTTTTAAATTTCAGTCAACGCTAGTTTGGATATCGAAAAAGTAATAAATTCTATGTAATTGGTGAAGTTTGATGACTAATAATCTTTAACTGCATCAAGTTTGTTTCTAGTCCACATTCAATCTGAATTGCCTAAAAGCAAACGTTGTTTACAGAGTTCAACTATGCTCTGGTTTGGATTCCTTGCATTTTAATTTATTTTCGAGAATGTTCATTTTCAGCGTTAAACAGTTATGTTTTACATATGATTGCCTAAATCATACTGAGGCAATATGTTTTGCGATGTCAGAAACATAGTAAAATCTTGATTTTCCATCACAAAAATCGAAGATTTAAACTCAACCTCTCGCAAATTTCGGTAATCATCCTTTATGGTAGTTATAATGCTCATCTTAGTGGTATATATCTTCAATAATTAATGCTTAATTAAGTGATGTTTTTATTATTAATCTTGTCGATAACCACGTTATTTATAATCTTACTCTTCAAGTATAAAAGAGCCATTTAGGCAAGAATGCTAGTTAGATTGGCACAACAATAACTTAGACTCTAAATTGAATTTAGAAAATACAAAAAGATATCACTTTTCTATATTAATATATTAATTAGAACATATTTCTATTCAAACTAAAAAGTGAAGGGTTTAATAATAAATGAATGAAACATTTATTGTGAAGGTATAAATTTTACTCAAACTAAATTAAATTTTACTAAAAATATTTTATTATAGAACAATGCCAGGTAACTCTTAGTTACCTGGCATAATTCTTTAAGGATTCTCACGAAAATTCTGAATTGCCTCTTCAATTCTTCAGTATGATTTTATGTCTTGCGTGTTCGTACAAATGTTTTGTCATGCGAACATATCACATATTCCGGTTATATTACTTGTGAATTGACAGTTCTGTTTTGTTTGTTTTCAAAACAAAATGGTTAGTGAAGATGAAATTTATTTAGCGGAAAATTCGTTATCAAGTTATTTATTAATTTTAAATAACAAAAGATGACTTTGGGTGCATGATTTTTATTTTTCAAGGTATAGAAATAGAAAGTTTGTTTATTCCTCAAACAAAGAATTTACCAAATCGTAATTCATTTCCTAAAAGTAGTATATGTTTTTAATTTCACATCCATTTATAAATTTAAAATTACGTAAAAACAACACACACCTCTCAATTTCATTATTAACGTCTTCCATTTTGCACGAACGTAGGAATTTCAAAGAAAATATTTTGTTTAATGAATTGCTCGCACAGAAGGTCCAACACGTTGCGCGAACTGCTCTTACTGCTCTTAGCAATGTATGATCACATATATTTGTCTTGTTCGTACGAACACGCAAGACAAAATTCCCATGCAATGTAACCGCAGCTTTAGGGAAACAGCTGATTCAAAGCCTGTTTAATAATTACTTCAATAATTGCAAAAAACATTTACTCCAATAAACGGCTCTAATAAAATGAAATACAAATAGCAACACATTTCATGAAATTGTCAATAAAAATTTTTTGCAATTTATTATCATTAAAACGCAGGAACCTATTTGATTTCTATAACAATTAAGCACTGAACAGACTCTATAAAAGTATTAAACAGTCTTAAATAAGAAACAAGCTATTTTTGACATTTGCTATATTTGTTCACGTTTTGCACAGATCTAATACATTTTAATTCACTACAAATTATCTTTTTAACTTTTAAGCAAACACTATCTGGTTTTATAAAATTTACGTCTATTTCTTCTTTTTCCCAATGAAATACTTTATATTTACTCTAATACTTATAAAAGTGAACTCGAAAGTATTTTTTTTTTAAACAATTTTTGTTGAAATTGCAGAATGTAAACAAAACAACAAAATTTGACGTTTCGTTAATTTCATATAATTAAAATAGTCAACTTGTCACCTGTTTTGGTTAAATGCAATATTTTTATTTATTGCAATAATTCACTGCTATTAAGCGATAAAAATGTAAGAGACATTACATATACATATATATTTGATGATATACCATACTTCAGTTGTGTATAAGAAATAATTTTTTTTTTATTGCAGAACAACTTTTTAACCTTTTTATATTTTGCCTTATCCCCCATTATGACCCAATCAAAAATAACAATCAAAATAACAATTGCTTGATTGGCTCGACTTACAATTTAATTTCATATAAAAACGCGACAATCACGATTCAACTGTAATTTACGGAAAATAAAGTTGAAGTTATATTCGTAGTTTGCAATACTACAATATATGATAGAGTTAATAATTCTTATAAAGTAAATAAAATAAGACAAAATATTGTTTTTATTTATGAGTGCATCTACAAAAAGAAATATAAAAACAATTTCATATAAAATTAAGATTTGTTATACAAATGGATCGAGTAAAAGTTATTTAAGGTGATTATTTACACTTAAAAATAAACTAACATGTTGTAATTATATTTGTTTAATTATTTACATCTTGATGTAGATATATTAACATTATTAAATTATTTTATTATTATTTTATTATTATTATTTTTTATTGTTATTTTATTATTTATTATTAGTTATTATTCTTAGTTCTTTTGTGTATGGCTTTCTTATAATTATTTATGTTACACAGTATTAACTAAATTTGATTGCAAAATGTTACAACTATAGACTTTAGTTCTTGCACTGAACGTACGAATTGCATCCGCTCAAAGGTTTACATTCTTCATTGCTTTTTGTATGTATTCGTGTACGCCATGCGTAAATCTATTTTCTTCTTGAAGTGAGTAAGACATATTCGGTAAAAGTCATGCCAAACAATTAAAAATATATATGTAACTAAAAAAATTGTGTAGCTGAGTATTCCCATATTATTTGTTTAATCAACAACTAAGGTAAGCTAAATAGAAAACTCAGCTATAGTGCGGTACAATTTTAACCTTTTCAACTTAGTTGCTTGGGGAGAAGGAACTTTTTTTGGACCTAAGAAATATAATCAATATACAATGACACAGTACTTGCCGCCAAATTTACTGGCACTTTTTGCTGCTCGTGATCCCATTCCTTATATTGCTCCAGTAGATAAATTACCACATGAAAAGAAAAGCCGTGGATATATAGGTGTTGGACAATTCCTGGATCGATTTGAAGACCCGAAAGACACTCCACCAACTAAACGAGTTGAGACACGACAGGAACGAATAGAACGACGTAGGCGTGAAAAAGCTGAACAAGTAGCATATAAATTAGAACGTGAAATCGCGCTTTGGGATCCACAGGAAATTAAAAACGCTACCGAAGATCCATTTCGCACACTATTCGTGGCACGTACTAACTATGACACATCGGAGTCAAAATTGCGGCGTGAGTTCGAGATATATGGACCCATAAAAAAGATTGTTATGGTATCGGATGTAGATACGGGTAAGCCAAAAGGTTATGCGTTCATTGAATATGAACATGAAAGGGATATGCATGCGGCATATAAGCATGCTGATGGTAAGAAAATTGAATGCAAGCGCGTACTCGTTGATGTTGAGCGCGCTCGAACGGTAAAAGGATGGTTGCCTCGGCGATTAGGTGGCGGTTTGGGAGGTACTCGCAGAGGTGGAAACGATGTTAATATAAAGCATTCTGGGCGTGAAGACAATGAACGTGAACGCGAACGTTATCGTCTTGAACGGGAGCGTGAAGATCGTGAGGGTGCTCGTACAATTGATCGTGGTGTTGGTCGTTTTGGAAATGATTCAGTTAGACGTCGTTCACGCTCTCGTGAACGTGCTAGAGAACGTGACCGCGAACGTGATAGGCCAAGAAGGTCACGTAGTAGGTCTCGTGAAAGACGAAAACGACGTGGTGGCAGCAGGGACCGAGATTATGATGATTTTGAAAAACGTGAAAGACGTGAAAAGGATCGAGATAGGGAACGTGAGCGTGAAAAGAAGAAAAAACGTTCCAAATCACGCGAGCGAGAGTCTTCACGTGAACGGCGAGAAAGAAAACGTGAAAGACGTGAAAAAGAACGTGATCGTGGTGACCGTGATACAAAGGAACGAAAACCTGATTTCCGTGATATCGATATAGTTAAAATTAAAGAGGAACCTATTGATGATGGATATCCAACATATCCAATTAATAACTATCCAACAACAGGCGTTAAACGAGAATCAATAGATGATGAGCAAGAGGAAAAATATAGGCCTCCACCTATTTTTAATATTCCACCACCACCTATACTCAATCGCACTACCGAAAACGGTCAAAATTTAAATGAAGGACAGCAGTGGTGGCGTTAATGGCAAAAAATGAGTATTGGTGTAACAATTCTAATTTTTCTAAACATACTGAATTCGTTATATTTAAAGTGGAGGGCGTGGTTTCTTTATGCTATTAAATAATAGTTGACATGAATTGTCACAACATTACATAAATAGACCAGGCCTCCTATTAATTATGAATTAAATATGTATTTTACAAGCAAAATTCAAGCAAACATAATAACTTTAATACAAATTTGTATTAAAGAATGACAACATTTATAAGTTAATTTAATGCAATTATGTTAATATTTCTTTGTTGCTAACTAACCAGACTAATTTCTTTCAAAAACTCTTAATGAAATTTTACAATTTTGTTTGCCTGCATTTTGTTTTATAAACAAACAATACTAAAATTGCATTGTATAAACTAAATACATGAATCTATAAAAAGTAAGTAAAAATAAAAAAGGATATAAATTGTGTTTACTTCCCTCAGGTAAGGGGGTAGTGGTAGCAGTGAAGCGTGTGTAGCATCCCTAAGTAAGAGACTTATTGTCCAATAATTATTTTTAAGAAAAAACCACTGCATCAACTAAAATTTAGGCAACAAATATTAGAACATTGTTCAAATTACATACAACCAGACAGGGCATTTATGGGTAAAACATGGAATAAGTATTTGTATCCCATGGTGGTTCGTGGGATTTAATTTCTAATTAAATGCATTTAACTCTAATATTTCATTATAACTTGTTTAGTACTCAGGCTTAGTAATGTGACATTTATTTTCTTTCTCTTTTTACAGTTTTAAAGAGATAATCAGTAAAACAGTTGTTTCAGGCTTATGAGAAAATGGGAAACTACCAAACGCCAAATAAATCCCGATAAATTTGTATAAACCGCCTGATCCTAAGTATTTTTTAAACTTTTAATTTTATTGAACTTTTAATCAAGTACTTAAACAAATTTAAACACTTTTCATACCACAGATGAATGGCTCGATATTATATCGGAAAAAATTGTAATTTGATCGAATATACACGCATGTATTTTATATACAATGTGAGCACAGTTTTGCTTAAAGTAAATTTTTTCAAAATAGCTAAGCCTTAGTGGATTTAAGTAGTCAATATGGAACACAGAAGATTGCACGGTTTCTATTTACTCAAAATTTTTGTTTTAAGTCGAGCAATGATTTGGTCCGAAGTATATTATCTCATGATGATAGACCTAGTGATTGTAGGTCGAATTTTTTTCATATTTTTCACGTTTATAAATGGCACGAATTGCCTATTTAATATTGTCACCTAAGCTTTCGAAACTAACTTTCAATTTTTAATAATAAATGCAGTCTTTTTTGTTATTTCTTCCTGACTATATTGTGTTGTCTTCAAAAATAAACTTATACCTTTTAACTTAATTATTTGGCGTTAATATCAATAACTATGCTTTTTAGTGGCTCACAGCCAAATTTGAAGCTCATCCTTTGACAAAAGTGGATAATGCAGTTATATTAACGAATTGCTTGCTGAAGTATTTATTTGAATAAATAAAAGTGTTCCTCTAAGTGACTCAATAAACTCATTAAAGCTGTAAAATCAATTAATATCAAGTAAATTGAAACGATTTCAAATTATGATTATTTTCGATATGGAAAGTAAATATTTTATGCGTGCTGTATGTATACATAATATCACGTATAAAATAATAAATCAAAGTAAATGCATATGTTAATCAGTTTGCCTATTCTAGGGGTTCCATCTATGTTTTTCGCTTGTCATAAATGTTTATCATTTGGAACTGGTGATGATTCCCCAAAGTTTCTTTTTTTATGTAAGTTTAAATTTGGATTTATTGGTGAAATACAGTGCGCCGAATGTACGGAAATTAAAAACCAAGACTCACAAAGGCTTACGTGATACAATAGCACTATTCACCTTGGTTTGTTACTATTAAACTAAAAACAAAATTGTATTAGTTTCAATATAGATGCGCTTGGTAATTCCGTTATTACTGGACACGTGGATAGCGTTTAGGCAAATTTTGGTAAGGCAAATTTTAATTTGTTTTATGTTAATTTCCATGTAGATTCTTTGAAACAAACAAGGAATTCAGACAGGGTAAGCTAGCAAAAAAGATGACGTGGCATTAGTGAGTACAAAAATAATATAAACTTTTTGGGAATCTATTAATTATAATATTGGTTATAATTCGAAACTTGTTATGTATGTAATCACTTATCCAGTCCAAAACAAAGATCCACATTCGTTATTGGATAGCGTCAAATTTATTCCTGTATGCAAACTGATCACCGATCGAGGAAGGTTTGTTTTAAATGTGATTCGCACATCTGGTAAATGTAACATTTTTTTTTACTTATTTTCGAATATTTTATTCATGTTAATCATGTAATATGGGTTATATGCTTTTCGCATATGTATTTATATGCAACAATAGACGTCCAATTTGACAAATGCTCAATTTAAAGAACTACAAAATTTTGCCTTGGGTGCCTGCGTAGATTAAAACCTAAAAAAAATATTAATTTAGTAAAATAAATAACTTCGAATGGTTTGAAGTCATACAATACATTTGTACCATTATTAACATTGCAGTCCAGCACGGATACAATTTTAGAAGCGTTCAAGCATAATCCAACGAACGTAGCGTCATACCACTATTTGCTCGAATAAGTATTGTGCCATTGGTCCATACCAATGTGGACTGCATGAAAAAATAAAACAATTAACAAGTAGCCGCGAAAGTTGAGCTTTTTAAACCTCGTCACGATATTATATATTCTTGGTACCGTTATGGATGCGTATGGACTAATACTTGTAAATGTTACATGGGCCAAGAAATAAGAAAAAGAAGAACGTTGCTGATAGAAAAAGTTGATACACATACTTTATAAAAATTTGAACTGAGATGATGACAATTGAGATAGATGATCGTGATAAATACGACGATATAAGCGATGCAATAAATATATGAAAAATTTTCAAGAAAAAACTTAGTCAATGAAGGTATACTCTACAGCTACCAATGACAATGATGTACTGAGCTACCAATAATAAATTTAAGCAAGTTTGTTAAGAAGATAGTGAGACAATAAAAATACCAGAAAATAATATACAAGACTTAGAGAATGGAGTATATGAAAAATGTTTAGAGAACATCAAAAAATCAACAAATCTAAGTTTTCGCAATGAATAACTGAACTGATAAAAGCTATATATTTCATTATTCATCTTAATTTTATTTAACAAATTTTGCAATTTAACAAATTATCTATGCGAGAAGTCATTCGTTAAATTGGACGTCTATTGTAGTTGAAATCCGCGTTAAATCGATATATGAAAAAGTTTAGACTCACTTTACAATACCTAAACATGGTGTTTGGCATCAAGTTTTATTTTTTAATGAATTTTGAAAAATAAACAAGATGTTTTTTTAAACTTTACTGCGATATAGTCGCTTGATTTTCCCCTAAATCGTCTATAATATAATACTTTTTTTAACAACCTTCCAACTATAGTATGTTTATATTGTTTTAAAACGGAGCCGACATAATTAAATCCAGTACTTCACTTATCGATAGTATGTCTTGAATTAAGGCGCAAAATTCTGCTTCCATTATCTTCTCTGAGCTCTTCATTTAAGAGATCGGGGGTTTCCGGCATAACTTTTGATTGTTTTTAATTGCAATTTAAGGATATAACGTATATAGAAATATTTATCATTGTGCATACAATTTATTACAACTTTAAACGTAAATAAATTGTAAATACTCAGTAAAATAAAACTTCTTTAATTTATAAACAAAACCTAAGATTTAACAAATTTATGAAATGATGTTATCAACTTTGCGATACACTACCAATGGGTTAGAGTTAGAGTTGAGTAGTGTTATCAGATATGCGTTTGCGTCTTTTAACATAAGTCTTCTGTTTAGTTCACTGTAACTGCACATTCAATTTTTCTGATTTATTAAAACCTTTTACTTAAATAATGACTTCAGTTCAGTTATGTATAGAGAATATTTCTAATTTCGAATCTTTTAAATGTCTTAAGTATCTGTTTATGCAAAACAAAAATCCTTACTTCAATTTAGAACCTCAACGCAAAAGACATAGGCCTGTCATATAAATGTATAATTTGAAATTAATAGATTAAGGCTTTAAATTAAATGTTGGAAAAATTAATTATTAGAAGACCAAACCCTTTAATTTATAATCAATATAATACCAATTGATCTTTTGATTAACATTTCTTAATATGATTTGTTGGGTTAACATATTCTTTCGTTCAACTAGAAACGAAATAGAAATATATTTGAAAAAATAGCAACAGAGTATAAAAATTTACCTAGTATTTTTTCTCTTATATATAATAAAAATCAATTTATGGTGCAATCAATTTATCAGGTTTTCTTTCCAAACACAGGATCATAATTATATTTTTTCATATACATTATAGAGCAGGTATATATAATATGGCGTTTTAAAATTTCAATATCGTGAATTATACAGCGGTTTACCCTAAAGGCTTACTTTTCTAATAAAGACACTTTAGATTTATTTTTAAATTAATTTAAATATAAAATAAGAAACTCATAATATAAGAAATATAAAATAAGAAACTTCTGAGGGTAAACGACCTCAGAAGTTTTTATTCCTTCACCGGTTGAGCTGCATATTATGATGTACTACGTAGGACCTCTCTACAGAGGTTTTAAGTTAATAATATATATTTTTGAGTTAATAATACATATATCTAATATATGTATAGACTCAGAGCTTTAAAGAAATTTATAAATGAGTGAATATGTTAGTATTCGGCAAGGAAATCCATTATAATAAAGTTGTCATTGTTACTAATTTTTTAATTTTTCTTTTTGAAAACCAAGTTCAGCATTTAATTTTGATCATTTTTGTAGTAATTTCTGTTTAAAAGCAATTGGTGCGGTACATTAAAAATGTTGAATTTAATTAGTTTTTTAAAATAAAACACATAAAGACTATACCAATAATAGTCCCTGTTCAGAATTTCTTCACTTCGGGCCAAGCTGTTTTCATTTAGCATATAACTACACATACATGTATCGTTTTTGTAATCTCGTCCATATTTTCTAGAATTAAAATCTCTATTGGATATATTTACAAAAACAACTTCCTTTTTAACACAGTGTCGATGTACTATCATTGCTTAAATAGTTCTTCGCATTAAACTTTAAGTAGTATCTACAGTGTTTTATACAAATCGTAAGTCAGTAGTGGATCTCTTGTTATAGAACTATGATGTACTTTTTATTTTTATATATCCTTCTGTCTTTTTATACTATATATAACATAGCTATCAAGTGGAATATATTTAAATCTAATTATGTCTTCATTACCTGAATAAATTATCTAGTAATATTTGCATACATTCATGTATTAGATTTTATTAGATCGAAAATTTTCATTGAATGGAAAAAAGTCATAAACTCGTAATTGCTTTAAGTATATCATGAAGTCAAATAAATCCCATGTCGGTTTTCGACAAGGGATTTTAGCTAGGAACAGCTATTTTCAGTAAGTTTTTCTTCTAGACTATATACTAATATTTGGCTTAAAGTTGAAAACTTTTACTAAAAAAACTACCAAAAAAGGACATCATTTACACTTTGCTCACACTAATCTTAAGTATTTTTAGGTACTAATCAAAATTTCAGCGCTATGCTCGAGAAGTTCAAGTACAGACAATTTCAAACATTTGGATCGAAAGATTTCAAATATTCGATCTGCTTAAATAGCAAATCTGCTTAATATTTTGTTTTGTTTTCATTCTGATTTATATATATCAGAATATGAATAACAAAAATGTTCGAGAATGATGTGGGGTTCGAATATATTTAAACAGGCATAAATGTAAATTTAGATGCATAAGGCTTCGAAAAATTCGAGTAATATATAAAGCTCTACTTCAAAAATAACGTTATTTAATTATAGGGTCAGATCTCCGACTTTTTAAAAACTTAAACTTTCAGTTAAATATATTCAATAGTTGAAATTAAACTTCTATTATAAATTAGTCGTGGGTATTGAACGTGGAGACTGATTTTTTCTGTTTTCAACTTATAACTTCTGTGAGTTGTCTTATGAGTAATTAAGTGGTTAACTATTGTATTATTTTTACATTTAAAATAAATTTGAAAACTGTTTGAGAAGTTGTGTAGAAGAGCATTTGGTTATTAAACCAGTATATGAAGGTAATTTCGAAATATTTTTTTTTTTATTTAATATGTCTTTCAGAGACAGCATAGTATTCACATGATCGGGCTCTTCATTTGAAACGTGAGACAATATATCTCCACATAGTAGAAATAGAAATTAACTGGGTAATGGCTCCTAACCGAGCGAAGCACTGAGAGCATGGTAGATATCTTGTGCTAATCTCCGCAATGTAAGTTAATTTGATTAAAATTTTTAGATTTATAGTACGTACTTTTATGTTTCTTACTTGAAGAAAACAATAAAGTATACATAGAAACAGTAAAAACATGTGTATATTTTATAAAATAATTTATAATGAATTGGAGGCTCATTATAAGATGTAATATGTTAATTGGTTTGTTTATAGCAGAGACCGTAACACTTATCATAAAAAAAATAAAAATCACATTATAAGTCTTATTATAAGTCATAAAATAATTATTAAATTCTCATAATAATCAAATAATTAATTATTATCATGTGCCATTTATTTTTTCACGCAGAAATAACTTTTAAAGTTCTGCTTTTTATTTTAAAACGCACAAATAAATAATAATATAAAAATCATTAATAACACTTATTTTTGAAAACAAAATATAACTCACACTGGCCTGCCGAATATGTTTAAAAAGGAAAATAAAAAATGTATTTTGCATGTAAGCTAGTTGTTTTTGTAATTTGATACAAAATGTATTAAAGAGTTGGTTGATTTATTTGTGCGTTTTAAAATAAAAAGCAGAGTGTAAGAGTTATTTATGCGTTAAAAAATAAAAGACACATGATAATAATTATTTTTGATGAATATAATATAAAGCAAATTTAATTATTATTTTTTGAGTTTTATTTTAAAACGTTTAAATATAAACTGCGTGCATAATATTAAGGATAAAAGTTGTTAGAATGATAACTATATATTCAAATATAAATTTAGACAACTTTTTGTTGTTGCTTTTTTTTCTTAAAAATTTTTGAAATAACTATTATTTTCGGTCCCTGGTTTCTACAGTCGATGTTTCGTAAGAAAGATTTACATTCTGGTTCATCGATGGTGTTTGTATCAATCGTTAAATTCTTTGAATAGGAAAGATTATTTGATAACAAGTCAACTTGGTAGTTTCAGTAAACAATTACAATTAAAATAATTTTTGTTGGCTTTTAATTTTTAAAGAAACAATTTTTCGAACTAAATGTGTACTGAATTCATATGTATAATTGAGATTTGGTAAACCAATTTATTGTTATTTAAATTTTATGTAAGTTGTTAAATAATATAGAGAATATAAATAACATTACTAATGTTTAACTTAAACAGAAATTGTTGAAAATATTTTAACTATAAATATTTTTGAGTTAATTTTGTAATCCATGTGTTATAGTTAATATAAATTAGCACCGTTGCTCCTATCATAATACGCGTCCATAAATGAGCTTTCTGTTTCCGTCTAGTATTTTTATTTATTATGTGTGTAACTAACTAGACTATATCCTTGATTATCCGTGGATAGAATTTTAGAACATTTCTATGGTGCTTAACAAATATTTGAAAAAATTCAAAGCCCCTAACCTCGATTTCTGTATCCGCTTATAGATATCAGTTTTTCTGATATATTATTGGAATTTTATTATACTTCTGAGAGCAGCATATTTTGTAAATATAAATTTGATTTTATATTGAATTTCAATTGTTGTTTTCAGACGCATATTAAATATTCACATATTAATATATTCAAGCATATTACATATTCACATTAATGTTGAAAAATTTTTATTGACAAATTTTGATAATTACATTCATTATTTAGATATAAAAACTAAGTAATAAACAGTGTTTTTTAAAAACACATTTTTCACTAGATTGTAATTTAAAAGCTTTATGCGATTTGTTGCAAATAACAGCAGTAATAACAATCTGTTTAGAAATACATATTTTACTGCAAATATATACTAAACTATTCGAACTATAAACACTTGCCTACAGCCTCATGATAAATATAATTATCTATATGTACATATGTTATTATTTAATTGACTAATCTGAATCATTCTATAACATGTGCTTCTTGCAAAAAGCAGATTCATAATAGTGATTATCAATAACACATTAAATACACTGATGTTCTTTATCGTGAAGTAATTATTTAGAAATCACTAGAGCAGAAACTACACATAGTGTACGTATTTTATAACCAAATGGAGTCAGAAATTTGTAAACATTTGGAACTTGCTAACCCAACACATCGCTACATACATCTATATCTCTTCATCTATTGTAAAACGATTGAATGAATATTCTAAGTATAGAAGACTAAAAAATTGTTAATATACTTTAACTCGGAATATAACAACAACAATAATAGTATTTTTTAATAAGGCTATTAAAAGAGACGAAACCAACTAATAAAAATTTGAAAATATTGTAATTTTCTAATAATAATATATGCAAACTAATAACTAAAAGACGTTCCAAAATCAAAAAGTATTGCTAGAATTGCCGGAGAATTATTTTATTTTAAACGGAAAAAGTCAAAAAATAAAGAGGGATATTTCCATTTGATACACATCATCAACCCTATATTTACGAAAATCTGTTAAGACAATGTCAAAAAAAAATAGTTTTTAAGTCGAATATTGCTAAAGTTTTGGAACATTGTGACTTTACTGAAACTGCAGAATATATACTTGTGAAAAAATTGCCTTACAGACGGTCGAATTTTGCTGTCAATTGCAGGAAAATGGAAAAAGCTATTAATTGAAGTAATTGATAAAATTTAATTATTAAACGAAATAAAGTTATATATTTTAATTACTTTATCAAAAGCTGAATATTGGTAGAGTAAACCTGGTCATGCCTGTCTCAATATATATTAGTTACATTTCAACAGTAGTAATAAATTAACATAATTAAGTCAACTCTAGTAGTAATATTCAATAAAAGATGCTTTAAATAAAAAGAAAAAATATTACCAAAACCAAGCAGTGTTTTTATTTACAGAAAATTATATAAAGCAACAACCCTAAGTTTCATCACCTCTGGAACTAATTAAATTTAAGCAACATTATAAGGTTTTTTATAAATATTCGCAGCCTACTCTACTCTAATACGCAGTTTGAATTCAACAGTTTGAGTCCTTTCGTAGGTTCCCTTAATATAATCATACTTTTTACGCACATCTTAAGGTACATCCACACCAAAGCGAACGACCGAACGAACTAGTTCGTCCACCTTTACAATGCACAAATACCAAACAGTAAGTAAACTGTTATAAAAACCTTTTCTACTCGTTAATTGATTAACTGTTATATGAACCTATTCTACTTGTTAAACAATTACCTGTTATAAGAACCTATTCTACTTGTTAAATGATAAACTGTAATAAAAACCAATTCCACTCGTTAATAAAAAACTGTTATTAAAACCTATTCTCCTCGTTAATTGATTAACTGCTATATAAACCTATTCTACTTGTTAAACGATTAATTGTTATAAAAATCTATTCTACTTGTTAAGTGACAAACTGTTATGAAAACCTATTCTACTCAATTGATTAACTGCTATATAAACCTATTCTACTTGTTAAACGATTAACTGTTATAAGAACCTATTCTACTTGTTAAGTGATAAACTGTTATAAGAACCAATTCCACTCGTTAATAAAAAACTGTTATGAAAACCTACTCTACTCGTTAAGTGGTTATGTGAAAAAAATAATATACCTATCTGTAATTATTTAAAGAAAAATGTGCTGTACATATAATTGTTATGCTTAAGTGCATTATGTGGTTGCTTATCAAAAATTAATAATGTTTAAAGTTTCTGTGTGGTTATTATTGTTGTCGTAACCCGATGAGATCTGCTGGTATTGTCCCTATTCTGTGTGTGGTCTTTCGTATTACTTAATAATGTTATCTGCCATTAATAATGACAGATAATGAAAATATTTAAATAAATTCACCACAATTTTTATCAAATAACCAAGAATTATCAAACATTTTTATTAAACAACCAAATTTCTAATCTTAAAAATATTTTCATAAAAATTTGTTTAAAAATCAATTTAATTGATTTTATAAATTAAAATAAAAATAAAATCAACATATCTGCTTGCAAACTCTTAAAGAGTAGTTATTCAGTTTTAATCCAGTCTTTTGGATTTTTCAATACATCAAGCAAACTCTGCTCTTTCGAATTAACAACAGGGTTATGCATATATTCCCATCTTGCAACTAATGGTAAAGACATCAATATGCTCTCAAAACGCGCACCAGGTGTATATAAACCAAACTTGGTACCACGATCATATATAAGATTGAACTCTACATATCTGCCACGCCTTAACAATTGCCACTGACGTTCTCTATCACCGTAATTATCATTCTTGTGCTTTCGTACAATTGGCATATAAGAAGGTATAACGGCATTGGCGCAACTATTCACGAACTTAAAGGCATCTTCCTGTGTTGGTGTGTCTATGTCATCGAAGAAAATACCACCTATTCCACGGCATTCCTTACGATGTGTTATTCGAAAATAGTCATCACACCATTTTTTGAAGCGTGGATAGTAGTTACTATCGTGCTCATCACAAGCATCTTTAAGCGTTTTATGAAAATGTGTAGCATCATTTTCGTCGAGGTAATATGGTGTAAGATCGGTTCCACCTCCAAACCACCATTGGCTTTCAGTTTTGCTATTTTCTATTTCAAAATATCTATAATTAAAATGTATTGTTGGTACCATAGGATTGCGTGGATGTATTACCGCACTAACACCAGCGGCAAAGAATGGCAAGCTCCCTTCTTGTAAATTCTTTCCTCGGGAACGCATTTGTTGAACTGCACCAGGTGGTAGCATGCCAGTTACAACAGATATATTTACGCCAGCTTTTTCAAATACTTCACCATCCTGTAACACACATGTAATTCCACCACCACCTTCTTGACGCAGCCATCGATCAACTTTAAACTTTTGCCCACCATACTCCTCCGCTTCTAATGCACGGCAAAAATCGGCTTGTATTTTTAGTATAAATAATTCCATTTTAGTTTTTATATTATTTTCCGTCTCTAATAAATGATCTACATCTGTAATGGGTTGGGCCATAAAGTTTGAACAATTCAATTTACGTTTAGGATCACTAGCCAAGTTCGCAACAGATACCGATACTATTGATGTAATACCAGTACCTATGATAAAGCCATGTACTCGGTTGGATCGTATTCGCTTTCCCAAATGGTACGCACTCATAGAAGTAATTAACTGCATAACTCGCCGTAAATTATTCATCTTTCTTATATGTTGTTAACTGTATTCGATAACTTGCTATTATTTAAATATATTCAGGTTTTTTAAAATTTTCATTCAATATTTAACTCCACAATCCTCTGCTATAAAGCTGTTATCATAGATAACACAAAATGACTAAACAAATCGCCGGCACCGAAGTGATTACAAATGTTTTAGAAAAGTTTATACTTTTAAACATTCCTCAAAAGTATGTTCAGTGCATAATATTCATGACTATATGCACGTAGATCTGTTTTTAATTGCATTACTACATTTTCAAGAAGAAATAATGACTTTTTATTTGTTTTGATATCTTTATTTAAAGATTAACAGATACTTATAAAACTAATATATTCATAACATCAAACTACAATTTTTTCCAATTGATTTTTATGAATTTTATGTTGTTTTGTTTCGTGTCTGCTTTAAAAATATTTACACCTTAATAAAATGTAAATGAAAGTGTGTTTAGTGACTTCCAATTCCAAAATATCTTAAAACTTAATAGGTCAGTTTAAGTACGTACTTCATAAAAAGTAATATGTTTTTCATATGATAGTGTACATTAAAAATTTGATTTTATAATCTATTTCTGATGCTAAAATTAAAATACTAAACACAGTTAATATAAAATAAGATTATTCCATGATATTTACTAAAGTGAATTTCTTTTTTTTCCATTTTATTTAACAAATTAAAATATGTATTTACTGAAAAGTAGTATTTCAATAGAAAGCATTATTATAGCTTGAGCTTTTGCGATGCAAATGATCTTTTTGTAGACGTGTATGTTGCTGGTGTCGTACACAGCAGCCGAGTTTTGCGTAGATCGCAACTGTATAATACAGCATCATTAAACAAATTTCCCACTTGTTCTTTTCTTTTAAGAGATTCTGCAAATCTGCGGTTCTGCAAGTAATGCATCCGTAGTCAAGGATTGTCATAGAAGACACTTTTGATCGCATAAAAACAAGATTTCGTCGACTGCTATATTTTATAGAACAACAAAGAACATCTTCAATAACAAATTTAATTATAATATATGTTGTACACAGAATGATACAGTTTATAATGAATTCTTTAAGAATGAGTATACCTACAAGGAAGCTAAAATAAATCCTCAATATTTTGAAGTGGATAACAGACGGAATTTAGTTAAGCGATATATAATTGATATTGGTGTCATAACGACTTATGGTTAACATCGAATAATATCATATTGATTCATATACAAATGCTTTATTCTACAAGTAAATTATGTATTGTTCTGTTTTAATTAAATAAAAGAATTTATTTTAATTTTTATATATTCATTTCAAATTATTTCATTTTAATAAATTATCAAACAACAATAAATATCAATATATCAATAACAATAAAACTTGAATAATTAAAGTAATAATTAAAATATTGCTTTAAATTGTTTAAACAAAAAAAAAATAAGTAATGACATTTTCATTAAAATGCATTCCACTTTTATTTTGTGTATACATTTCATATTGAACCAGATCAATTACTGGTTCACCCCATCGTTATTGTTTTGCATGTAAAATTAAGCTGATCATTGTTTGCTGAAACGAAGCTAATATTAATAGTCCAAGCGATCAACAATAGTCAGTATCAGTGTAATACAACCAATACAATTTTGTGGTAATTTCATATAGATCATTAGCTTAAATTAAATACCAAAACAAAAAATATTTAAAAATGGATACTGGGTCAAATTATACCACCATTACTGTTGAAAAGAAAATGGCAATTTTTAACAATGCTGATACTAACAATATTTGTGATTTCTTAATCTTTGAGCATAATTAATTATAACTAAAACTTTTTACTAATTTACACAATTATTCAGCAGCCGTCTAGCTACCTACGTTTTGTAAAATATTATATTTGGTTGGTTATATTATTTGAAACTATGTTCTGAACATTGAAAGTTGCATACATATAGAAAATAGAAAGATTCGAAATCTAGGTCAATAGAAGAATTTTGCAGATATTATGAAAAGACTATGTTTAATGCAGATGTCTGCACTAGCATTCAAATTGCTAAATATAAAGATATTATATTATATTATATTATATTATATTATATTATATTATATTATATTATATTATATTATATTATATTATATTATATGTAATCATATTATATCACTAGATTTTTATTATATTATACTATATTTTTTATTATATTATATTTCTATATTTCTTATTATTTTATATTTCTTTATTTTTTATTTTATTATATTTTAATATTTTTTTTTATTATATTATATTATTTATTATATTATATTATGTCATAGTACTATAGTGTTTATTATATTATATTACTATACATGTTATCATATTATATCACTAGATTTTTATTATATTATACTATATTTTTTATTATATTATATTTCTATATTTCTTATTATTTTATATTTCTTTATTTTTTATTTTATTATATTTTAATATTTTTTTTTATTATATTATATTATTTATTATATTATATTATGTCATAGTACTATAGTGTTTATTATATTATATTACTATACATGTTATCATATTATATCACTAGATTTTTATTATATTATACTATATTTTTTATTATATTATATTTCTATATTTCTTATTATTTTATATTTCTATATTTTTTATTTTATTATATTTCAATATTTTTTATTATATTATATTGCTATATTTTTTATTATATTTTATATATTATTATATTTATATATATAATTATATTATATTTATTATATCTATTATATTAATATTATATTATATATTATATTATATATTATATTATATTATATTATATTATATATTATATTATATTATATATTATATTATATTATATATTATATTATATTATATATTATATTATATATTTATTATATTATATATTATATTATATATTATATTATATATTATATTACATTTTATATTATATATTATATTACATTTTATATTATATTTTATATTATATATTATATTATTTATTATATTTGTGTACTAACGCCAGATAGTATTTTTGTTTAATATCAGCATTAATGTTTGATTATAATATATTGGTGTTTCATTATAAATCATTATATATCTAGGCTCAGTCCACTTTCTCTGAAGAACGTGGAACATGTAGCGTGTAGAAAGCAATACTGCTGAAGAATAAATGAATACAGAATAATTTAATATTTAATTTAAGTTATTTAATTTAAATATTATTATAGCTATGGTAGCCACATTACTAATTTTATTAATAACAACAAAAATAATATGAAAAAAGTTTTATTCAATTTTTCAATTTTTAAAAAAGAAAATAATGAAAATTTTTTTCAAACTCTTACTACAAAAAAATAACATAACATCGAGCATGCCAAAACTACTTAAACATTATTTATAATGAAAGAATCAATTGCTAATGTGAATGAATACATAACATGTCAAATGTACGGAATGTGTTCTTCATATATCAAATAATCAACAGAAAGTATCTCTTGATAATTATTTGAAATACTTAGATATACCATTAATTAATTAACCTTTTTGTGACAATGGTTCAAATTATTTGGTATAGGAATTTAAAAATGCTACAAATATGTGTTCAGGAACGGTTAACAATGAAACATGAATTTTCGGGTAGATGAGTCATATATAAAACTCACTACAACTAAAACTAAACGAAACAAAACTATTTTTAATAATACTATGACATTTAAAATCTACAATATTTATGACTGCTAATGATTGATATTAAACATGAACACGAAACATAAATTTATGAATTGAACAAAGTTTTAAAAAAAATTTTAATAGAAACGCATTCATTGGAACGAACAAAATTTTAACAACATCCAGTAACTCATTTACGAACGAAACGAAACGGAACGAAACGAAACGAAACGATTCAAAACGTGATCAATTTTATAGCACACGAAGCACGATGCAGTCAAACAAAACTAAGTCTGACCTGTTTTGGGAGGATGTTGGCGAAGCAGCAGTAGGAATGACTGCTGTTGCACCCTCTAGCGGCTGCTTTTGCATCATAGGGCTGGTGTGCTGTGAATGTTGAGCCGATATCAGTTGTGGCTGTTGTTGTTGTTGTTGTTGTTGATGATGATGTTGTGATGACAGTGTTAAACGATTTATCGACGTTCCATAAGCAGGATCATAGCTGCATGCAACATTTGTAGCTGTTGGCAGACTAGCAGCTGATGGAGACTTGCCATCAGGTGAACCATTATAATATTGCGGCACCGATGCATACTGATGTGTGCCAGTACCAGTAGGACTTGCACTAAACGCTATATTTGTTGGCGAAAGAGTTCTGTTGGAGATAGACATATTGCCCATGTTAACACTAGCACCATAGCAAATGCTACCAGAAGTTGGATATTGCTGTGGACTATTACCCGCATTCGCATTCATTGGTATCGGAATGGCACGACTTTGGTTAGCTGTAGCATAAATTGTAGGCGAAAACTGATCAATGGCTTCGTCATCTTCATCATTATCTTTCACATTTTCCTCATTACCAATCGCAAATCCAACAGAACCTTCTCGTTGAAAATCATCTATTGGCAACATATAACGTTCATCTCCAAGTGCAATTTTCGTAAATATATTTGTATCGGATCGTGGTTCCGGCGCTTGTACGGGCCAAGTGCTAAAATTTTCTGATTGCGAATTAAGCATGCCTGATAGTTGCAAGCTGCCCACTAGTCTATTTTCATCGTTATGTGGTAAATTCAGTATGGAAGTAATTGTCGTCGATATGTGTGGTGTGCTGAAGGCGCGTTTACGGTTGGCACCCGCTGTTATAGCTTGGGAAAGGCTCGAAACGCTTTTTTTGTAGCGGGGTATTTTGTGGTCAATGGTGAATTTGTTGAATTTCATTTCAATCAATTTTGTTTAAAAAGTCGAAAAAATAAAATAAAATAGAAAAAAATTCACCAATTAGAAAATAAATAATTTATTATATTATTTAATTTTTTTTATAAACATAATACAAACAAGGTTCAGTTTTATTTTTTAGGGTTATGTATTTAGGTGAGATGTATTTTTATCAATCCATATTGTTGGGAATTGTAGACTTAACTCAATTAAACAAGCCTACATACTTTTACATAATATAATTAATTTTATAAAGTATGTAAATATAATAAGTGTACAACTATTTTACTTAATTACTTTAAATCAAAGAACAATTGTTTATTTAATTAACAGTAACAAACGAAGTAACTGCAAATTTTACTTAAGTGCTACAAATAATAGAAGCGATATAGTTGTCATAAGAAACTATTCAAATCTTTTGCTCCTTAATTATTAACGTTAACGTAAGCTCAGTGATGTTTCAGCTACTAAACTAATGAATGGTGTTATGCGATTATAATACTAGTAGTGCAATGGATGGATGTATAGTACTTTATAAAACTGAGGGTGCATCACATTAAACATAAAAACACTCAGCTTCTTTAAATCTTAGGTTAAAGTATTTTGAAAGCCAATATTCATCACATACTGTCTCTGTCTCTGTCAAAGAATTTCAAAACATATTTTTTCATTGTATACATATCTCTATTTATTCAATATGAATTTACAACAGGCGCCAAAATGTACTTCTATTAGCGGTCATCGCCACAGAGTATCACCAAAAGGATGAAAAAATAAAGAAGAATAACTGAGATAGAAAAAAATTGTGTGGGCAATAGAAAGATAGATAAATGAGACGGATAGATGGGTAAAACAAGAGAAAGATACATGGGGAGAGATCGTGACAGAGATGGAGAGAGTGAACGAGCGAGCGAGAGAGGGAGATAGAAATAGCTAGAAGCAATAAGACATAAGTCCTAGTTGTTTTACGTGGTTAAGACCTCAGTGTTATCAACACATTTATCAGCATAATGCGCCGATAAACGAGCCATTTAGAAAATTCCGTCGACACTAATTAAAGGTATAAGTTTGCATATAACTTCCTTCTTGCTGTGAAGCATTATCCTTTTAAACCTCTACTTTGGTTCACATCATCACTTCAAAAATGGAACTTCACATTGAGCAAAAATATAAATGCTCCTCATTATATAAGTTTAGATGTTAACCATAGCCACCACGACATTTCCTTACGAAGTTATTTCAGAATTCCGGACAACCAAAATTGTGGGCACCTGCAGCAATCCCATATTTCATCTCTGGTGGGATGTCGTGAATCAAAAGTCAATTGTTACCCAATAAACTTTAGTTGCCTTTTACGACTCCATCTCAAAGAGCAATAACTTTGAAGCACGAAAACAAAAAGAAAAATAGAAAACCAGTTACCTGATTCTTAAAAAAACGGGCACGCTTAGAGCAGATCAATTAACAGTCATCACCACATAAAAAAAGGATATAGATTGAAAACTGCAACAGAAGAACTGAAACTGAAAAACAATGAGAGTGGAATGGAAAAAATTCAAAGGGAGGAGAGACTGTATTCACGGTTGCCACTTATGGTACTTTAGTACCAAAATTGGTACTTTTTTTTTTTTTTTTTTCGTTTGGTACTCATTTTCAAAAACTGGTACATTTTTGACGACCCAATTTTATTGTGGATATTTCCAATTAATTTTTTTTATAAATGCAACTTTGCACTATTTTATATTTTGTTCATTTATAACACTATAAAAAACACAGAACGAGAAAACAAAAAGGTCCAAAAAAATTTTGGACCTTTTTTTACAGAAATGGTACCTTTTTAAACCAATTTTGGTACAGAAAAAAATTTTCAAGTGGCAACCGTGACTGTATTTCTTACAGTGTGAGAAAGAATGAATATAATGTGAGAGAGAGAGGAGATATAGTGTGAGAGAGAGAAGAGTTATAGTCACGGTTGCCACTTATGGTACTTTAGTACCAAAATTGGTACTTTTTTTTTTTTTTGTTTTTCGTTTGGTACTCACGTTCAAAAAATGGTACATTTTTGACGACCCAACTTTATTGTGGATATTTCCAATTAATTTTTTTTATAAATGCAATTTTGTACTATTTTATATTTTGTTCATTTATAACACTATGAAAAACACAGAACGAGAAAACAAAAAGGTCCAAAAAAATTTTGGACCTTTTTTTACAGAAATGGTACCTTTTAAACCAATTTTGGTACAGACAAAAATTTTCAAGTGGCAACCGTG